GCGCAGCTGGGTGGGGGGACACAGGCAGACGCAGCTTTGTATGCTGAGGGCATCAGCTCCAGGCCTGGGGGCTCTGGAGAATCTCAGCGGATGTGGCCAGCAGCGCCACACATTCAGGTCATCTATATAAAATCCAGAAGCTACACCCTCACTTGGTCTCCACATCACTCAATATACTCCCTTAACCGTCCCTTTTAAAGCCCCAGGCTTCCACTCCTGCAATGACTTTGCACCCCTGCACCAAGAGGTGGACTCAGTTTCCCCAGCCCTCACGGCAGGGCTGGGGTTTGCTGATACAATTCAGTGGCGTTGGCACTGCCGTAAGACGCCTCAGCTCCCGCTCGCTCCCTGGGACCCCTGCCCAGCCATGGATCCAACCAGGCTGCCCTGCTGGGTGGAGACACCACTTAGAACGTCTGGATGCGTCAGCCGAGGAGGCTGTCCTAGCTCAGCTGATGGGTGCCATCCATGAACAAGTTCGAGAGCCCGGCCAGGGTCAGCAGAGCCGCCTGCCCACCCCTGGCCAACCTTGATGTCTGAGGAAGACCAGAACTGCCCCGCTGACCCACAGACTCACCTGCAGTGATAAATGCTGATTGTTGTGAGCCACTGCGTTTTGGGACATTTGCCACACAGTGACAACCGACTGACACAGTCTCCTACCCAACAGCTGTATCATGCTGTCCTCCACACTCACAGTGACTCGGGCCCCGTGGATGCCCCACGCCGGCCTGGGCCGCCTGCACTCTCATTGCACCCTGGGTGCGACACAGGTGGTTTCCTCACAGCTGAGGCCTCGTGGTGGGCAGTCTCCTGGCTCCAGGATTGTTTTCCTCGTCCCTCAGGCCAAGTCCAGCTGCACGGACCCCCGTCCCCACTTGACCCCACCTTGTGAAGCCCTCAGTCGGTCCAGCCTTCCCAGACCCCAGAGCAGAAGTCCACCTCAGACCTCTGCTCTCCCCACCCTATTGCAGACAATGGCCACCTGGGCAGACCCTGAGCTCTCTGGAAGGGCTGCCACTGTCCTGTCCAGGCTCCCAGGAGCTGTGCACGGCTGTGGCACTAGCTGCTGCTTGAGGCATCATCTGGTCACCAGCCCGGGGAGCGCTGACCCCCCTGTACCCCACGTGCAGGGACATTCGCCCCACTCCCTCCACCTTCTGCCCTGTCAGCTCCGTGCTCTGCAAACCCACCGTGCACACACATGCACGCTGCCTTAGTGTGCTGAGGCGCACGTGCGGCAACCATGACCCTGGGGGAGTTCCAGCAGGCCAGCCGGCCAGCCCTGCCCTGGGGCGGGGTCTGCACTGTGGACTCTGCTCTGTGTGAAGGGCTCCTCACGGGGAAGCTGACAGTGTGGGCACCTGCACGGCCCCTTCCCGGGAGGACCCCAGGGGCCACAGGTGCCATCGTGGGACTGCTGTGGGCGGCACTCACCTGTTCTGTCAACCTGCAACCGGTGAGCCTTGGCTCCAAAACCTCCTGGGGACACTGAGTTGCCACACCTTCCACGCCATGGACCCTCTTCCAGTTTTATCACACTTGGGGTAAAACCCAGCCCCTTATGTGGGGTGAGACCTTGTGTGGCCCAGATGCCCTGACCTCTCCCACTTCATCCCCTCTCCCTTCTCCTCCCTCAGTCCGCTCCAGCCACCAAGCCCATTCCCACCTCAGGGCCTTTGCACCCGCTGCTCCTTCTCCCTGCAGGGCCTGTCCTCAGACCTCCACGGTAGCCAGTGCCTTCTTGTCCTTCAGGGCTCAGCTTCAGTAGCACCTTCTCAGAGAGGCTTTCCAGACCACCCCACCTGAAGGAGACCTGCACACCCACATCACACCCTGTTTGTTCTTACAGCCCTTCTCACTCTTGGAAGGTGCCACACTCTGACATTACCGTCTTCACACACATGTCCCTGCTCACTGCCCATCTCCCTGCAGGCAGGAACCTGGGCCATCTTATTTCCAGACGGATCCCACGTGCCCAGACAGCACCCGGGATAAGCAGGTGCTCAATGATGGTTTGCTGAGCAAGGACTGAGAAGGAAGCCCCTGCCAGCAGCCTCTCTCAGACACTCCCCATGCAGGCCAGAGGTTCAGGCAGGCTAGGGGAAGGGCCCACAAGGGCTCCCGTTGAGGGCCACCTCCCAGCTGTCCCTCAGCACTGTCTGGTGTAGGATGCAGGTGCCCCAGACTCTCTAGTACGAGGTCTGCAGGAGCAGTCCCCAGGCGGGGTGCTGAGCAGGACCACAAAGGCAGAGCCGGGTCACTGGGGCCGCTTACTGGGAGCAGGAAAGGAGAGCAGCTCTCAGAAGAGGGAACAAAAGGGCCGTTTGTGGAGCACTAAGTTTTCCAAGCTGTCACACACACAGGTCGAAAGCCAGCCGTCTCTGGGGATGGGCAGATGTGCAGAGGAGGGCAGTGCAGGGCTGCAGAGGGCGTGACAGACAGGAGGCTGCGTGGCCCTGTAAAGAGGCCTCTGGCCTCTGCCTCCAAGCGGTGTGGCCTTGGGGCAGTTTCCTAACCCCTCTGAGCCTCAGTTTTGTTTGTAAAATGCTGGAAGAATAATGGGAGTGGTATGCTTAGCTCTGGGCTACACCACATGGGTGCTGCTACAGTTGGTAGTGGGATTTCTCAAATGTTTAGTGAGCAGGTACTACGTTCCTGACCCAGTGCTGAGTGATGGGGTACAAAGATAACAGGGGCTAGCTCTGGTCCTGCAGGGGCTCCAAGGCTAGGGGAGAGACAGCCACAAAGACAGAAAAGTGGTGGGACAAGGTGACAAGGATGGCCATGAAATATATTCGAGTTAGTGAGCAAAACAAAGAAAGGTGTTCTAGGCAGAAGGAACAGCCTGTGCAAGAGCTCAGGAAGGCACTGTCTTGTTGCTGGTGGTTGCCACAGTCAGAGGGTGGCTGGAGGGCACTGCAGGGGACCCACTGGGGAGAGGAGGGGCATTTTCTCTTAAATGTCTACTACCTCCACCTTGGGCCAATTCTCACCATGCTCACTTGAGTGGCTTCTTCACTGGTGTCTCTGCTGCCCCCTGTAGGACCCTTGCCACACAGCAGCTGGGGAATCTGAAATCATCATTTGGATCATGTCCTCAGAGGCTTCCAGAATGAGAGACAATAAATCCAAACTCGTCCCTGTGGCCCAACATGCCCTGTACCACAGTACCCCCACTGCCTCCTACCATGTCCCTCCTCATCCAGTCCGCTCCAGCCCGGGGGCCATTCCTCGAATGTGCCAAACTCATTCTGGCCCCAGGCCCTTTGCACGTATTATTCTCTCTGCCTGGGATGCCTGTCTACCAAATTTTCAAATGACCAACATTCACCTGTCATCCTGAGCTACCTCGAATGTCACCTCCTTAATGGGGCTGTCCCTGGCCACCTAATCTAAGTCATTCTCCAGTCACTCCCACTCCATCAGCTGTCTCATTTTCTCTATAGTGTGTATCACCATCTGATACACGTATTTTCTTATTTATGTGATTTCGGGGTCGATTTCCCCACTAGACTGTATCCTTGATGAGAGGAAGGACGTATCAATCCTGTTCTAGGCAATAGCCCTGGCTTCTGGAACAGTGCCGGGCTTGGCACCTAGTAGATGCTCAATAAATAATGTAGAAGAAGGGGGTGGGGAGGAAGGACGTGGAGACCATCTGAGAGTCCACCCCAGCCAACTTTGCCCATTTTACAGCCCTGCCTGCACTGGGTCGTCCTGGGAACCCAGACAATTAACATCTTCTCAAAGGGTTCCCAGGGGCCGCCTGGCCTGGCCTGGCCCTGGCCGTCCTCCACACACCTGGGCGAAGGTCTGCTCCAGCCTGATGATGTTAGTGGCACAGGCCTTGGCAGCACCAGCCTGGTGCTGATGTGGAAATGATGTTCCTCCACCAACAACACGTTCCTGGCCTCACCCTTGGAGCGCAGTAGCTGGGTCAGAAGGAAGAGGAGGGAGAAGCCTCCTCGCCAGTCTCTGATGGAATGTTCAGGAAGATGCTGCTTCAGACTGTAGGCTCTGCCTCTCAGAGCCCCAAACCTGGGGGACCCATAGCTTCCTGGACTGGGTGAACCCTGATGAAATGGCAGCCCAGGTCTGAGTTGAAGCCGCCAGGTCTGGCCGTGACAATAACCTCCCTGCCCAACACACTGCAACGCTGACTTGAAGACAGCTACTGGCCTGGGGCCTCAGGCAAGAATTCTAGTTGTACTACCATGTAGACAGCAGGGGGCAGCCTAGCACGGTGGACAATGGACAGGCTCCAATACGGGCTCTGCCGCCTACAGGTGAATGACCTCGGGCTAGCTCCTTAACCAGGGGAGCCTCTGCTTTCTCATCTGATAAATTGGAATAGTGATACCCACTTAATGTGCTGGCAAAAACGGAATGAAATGTGCTAATAACGTTCCAGGTTGGCTGAGCAGAATCACTTAGGGCACTGGCCAAAAACACAGATTCTGGGCCCCCACCTAGAGCTGTGAAAACAGAACCTCTGGGAACGAGGGGAGAACTGGCATTTTTAAGAGCCCCGGCCCTTTCCCCCCACCCCCGCCAGAAGCATCATTAATTTAGTGATGCCCCTGTCTAATATGTTCAACCCACAACTCATCTCAAGCAAACAATCTGACAAATCTGAATGGAGGCTGCTTTGCAGAACAACGGCCTGGACACCACAAAACTGTCAATACCAAGATCTTTCTTTAGGTGGTTAACGACAGTGAAACCTTTAGGGGAACTTGCTTTGAAATGCATCAAAAATTGAGGTGGATGGAGAGCTATGTGATAAAGCAAGTGGGGGGAAATATGGATGAGAAGATCTAGCCCTGGCTGGTCTGGCACAGGGGATTGAGCACCAGCCTGAAACTGAGAGGTCACCACTTCTATTACCAGTCAGGGCACGTGCCTGGGTTATGAGCCAGGTCCCCAGTTGGGGGCGTGCAAGAGGCAAGCAATTGTTTCTCTCACACAGAGATGTTTCTCTCCCTCTCTTTCTCCCTCTCTTCCTTCCCCTCTTTCTAAAGATAAATAAATAAAATCTTTATAAAGAGAGAGAGACAGAGAAATCTAAGTGGTAGGGATGTAGGTGTTCATGAGAAAATTGTCTTAATAAAGTGTTATTGGAAAATGCCCCTTTGTTTACATAGTGTCCATAGCTGCTTTTTTTTTATACCATGGCAGAGCTGAATGGTTGCTACAGACCTTATTGAGTGTAAAGGCTAAAATATTTATTATCCGGCCCTTTACAATAAAGTTTGCAGACTCTGGTCTAAGTTAGGAAACTAGAGAGATGGGGCAGCCAGTACCCGGGGTGATTCTGGATTGCACCCTGGGCTCAAGGCAAGCAGAACAGCTGGAAAGAACACCACTGGGGTGAGGGTGCAATTTCACCGTGACCTACACAATAGCGTTACATCGCGTGTCACGTGTCCTGAAGTTGGTACTTACACTGTGTCGCGTAAGAAAACATCCGTGTGAGAGGGGACATTCTCTGAAGTGCTGAGGATAACGAGGTCATCCAGAAACATCTCTGTCTCAAAGCTCAGCGACACAGGAACAGCGTGTGTGTGTGTGTGTGTGTGTGTGTGTGTGTGTGTGTGAAGGTTCAAGTGTATAAAACGTGTAAATTGAATAGAAAGACATAGGAAATATCAACAACTGGTGAATGTCTTACAGTCACTTTCCTACAGGTTAAAGATTATTCAGAGTAAAGACTAGGAGGGACTGAGAGGCCCCTGATCGAGCGTGCCGTGCAGTGAGGCTTGGGGAGCAGTGCGGTCACCTGTGGACATGCGGGTGCAGGGCCTGGCGCAGCGTGGGCCCTCAATCCTCAAACGGAGGCGGCCTGGGCCAGGGGGGCGTTTGCCAACACGGGGGGGCTGGCGGGGTGACGAAGTCCCGGTCGGCAAGTGTGAGCCCTCACTCACACGCTGTCGTTCATCCATTCACTCAGTATGTTTTGCTGAGCACCTACAGTGGGCTGGGCCCTGGACCAGGTGCTGGGCACGTCCTCCAGTGGCTCCTGATCTGGGGAAGAGGGCCAGATGGGGAAAGAGACAAGGGCAGCACAGACGGAGGGGAGTGGGAACCCCGGCCTAGGCCTCCGGGGGCCCCCGTCTACTCCCAGGACCCACAGACACCACACGCGGGGGAGATGCATGACCGAGGGATGCCTGGGGCCTGCAGAGGCCGTGTGGGAGCGGGGTCTGTGGATGGGGCAGGAGGGCACGCAGAGACCCTGGGCGTGGCAAGGCACATGGGACACCTGGGAGGCGGTGCTGGCTGAGCTCAAAGGCCTGTGTCATCTGATCCCGCTGCCAGGAGCGTGCCAGGCCGAGTGAGGCGGCACCAGGCACCAGGCACCAGGCAGGCGGGCCTCTTCTAGCTCCCGGGGGTCTTGTGGGCCTGGCTGGGGGCCACAGGGGCCGGCCCAGGAATGTAAACCTGGGCGTGTTTGGGAAAGCTGGAGCCAGGGGTTTCCGAGGGCAGCCCAGTGGGGCTTGCTGGAGGCCCACAGACAGATGTGGATGTGTTGACGCTCCCCAGTGGGGCCCGGCCTGCGTGGCCTGTCCCGCCTTGGGCAGGGCATCTGGAACGAGTTAGGAGCTCAGGGCAGCTGGGGCACACTTACCTTGGCTAAGGCAGCGGCCGAGGACGGTGGGGAGGCTCTGCCGGCCTGAGGGCTGCAGCTCTTGGCTGGAAGAAAGGAAACAGTGCAAGAGGCCTGGCGGGAGGCCACCTTGTCTAGAGCTCCAGGGCCGGACAGGACTGAGCCCACGTCCCCAACAGAGATCGGAGACTGGCGATCCAGGAATGCGTCAGCAGCCCGGGCAAGGGCCGCTCACACGCCTCAGGCCGGAGGGCTGCACTGCGTAGTGGTTAGGGCTGGGGTCTGGCATCAGGTGACCTGCATTTGAATCCCTGCTCAGCCTCTGCCTAGTGCTGGCATGTTGGGCAAGTTCCTCTGTTGCCCTCTCTGAGCCTCAGTTTCTCCTTCAGTGTAGGGACTATAGACGACTGGGTGGCATGTCTCCTGTGGGTCCCTCCCTGCAGTCCTGTCCACACAGCGCCCTCCCTCACGGCTCCAGGCCAGAGAGCTCACAGCTGCCCACTCTTGCTCGTGCCGGGGAGCTGCCTCATCCTGGTGGCTGCTCTACACCCAGGTGTAACAGCTTCAGCATGACTGGCACCCAGGCCGTAGAATTCATTGTTAGGAGCTGACCTGTGCACTGTGGGAGGTTTAGCAGCATCTCTGCCCCTGTCTCCTAGAAGCCAGCTGCAGCTTCTCCCCTCTATAATACCAGAAATGTCCCCAACCATTGTCCCGAGTTCCTACGTGAGTAAACTCACTGCAGGTGAGTACCACTGACTTACACTGTTAACAGGTGGCCCACTCGTTTCCCTCAGTGACCTAGTACAAGTGCCAGAGCCCAGCTGGGGGCCCACCGGGCTTTGTGTATGTGCAAGACCACCGGGCATTGCACCAGGCAACTAGTAGGTCTGCAGACTGAGGGGCGATAGTGGTTAGTAGTGTGTATTTGAGGCCAGGGCTGCCTCTAGTTTGGAGGGCTAAGAACTCCTCAATTACTCTCCAATCCCAAAGATTCAGGTTATTTTATGAGCTGTGTGACCTTGGGCAAGTCACTTTGCTTCCTGAGTCTCTCTTTCCACGTCTGTGAAGTGGGGAGAATTTAAGGAGGTGTTGGGGGTCAGAGTACTTGTGTGCACACAAGCTGATGTCTCCCTGCCCTGTTCCTCCTCATCGTCTTCTCCTTTTAAAATTTTAATTGTTGTTCAAGTACAGTTTTCTGTCTTTTACTCCTATCCCAGATCAACTGCCCCAGGGCTCCCCACCTCCCTCCCATTTCCACCCCCCTAGTTTTTGTCCATGTGTCTTTTATACTTGTTTCTGTAAACCCTTCACCCTTTCCCCCTGAAATTCCCTCCCCTCTCCCCTCTGGTCCCTGTCAGCCTGTTCTCATCTTCTAAGGGGCCTCAGAGCTGCAGAGAACCCCTCACCTGAACACCCGATTCTGGCCAGAGATGTCAAGGACAGGGCTGGCTTGAGAATCACAGGTCAGCTGCAGGGAGGTGCTCAGGTCCTCCTCTGCCCAGAGCACCGCAAACATGAGCTGAGGAGGGAGGGAGCAGGCTGTGAGTCCTGGGACCCCCACAGGCCAAGTGGCACTGCAGCCCAGCTCACCCCTGCCCCCTAGCCCAGTGTGGCAGTTGCCCAGTAGGTACAGACCCTCCTGACACCCCCTGGGATGGTGAGGACGCGTGAGCAGGGCCCTGGTTGGCAGCGCCCCAGACATCGGCAAAGAACGAGCCCCATGCAGACCTCCCCACCACCCAGCGCCAGGAAGGGGGTTTAGACAGAGTCGGGGGGGAGGGGAACCAAGCCTGCTCAGTTGTGGGGTACGGTGACACAGAGCCTGTGCCTGAGGAGTGACATGCTGTCCCTCCTCCCATGGAGGAGTGGGTGGGGGTTGGGGGAGAAATCACCAGATAATCAGAAACAAGGTGCCGAGGCTTTGCTGCCCAGCTCCACGCACTCCCTGTGACTCATGGAGCAGCAGGAGGGCTGAGCCAGGCATGGCAGTGGGCAGGGCACAGCCCACGCAGCAGGGGCCACGGCAGATCCCCCATCTCGGAGACGGGAGGGCACCGTGGGGAAGAGCCTGAGCACCAAGCCCGAGTCCCTATTTTGCTGCCTGCTTGCTCTGCGACCCTGGGCGGGCCACAAACACCCTCTCAAGTGATTCAGAATGATGACGAAGGTGATTGCCACGACCTTATTGTCACTGTCCCCACAGCAGCAAAAGCTTCTGGAGCATCAGCTCTACCCGCACTCCATCCTGGGTACATCACTGGTACTAACTCACTCAGTCCTCACAGACCCCATGTTACTAGTGCAGTTATCATCCCCACTTCATAGACAGAGACTGGGGGCACAGAGAGGGTGAGGGATTTGTCCGAGGCCACACAGCCAGCAAACGACGGAGCTGGGATCTGACCTCCAGAGATGAAATTCACGTGAGCTGTGCCTTCCCGCCTCTCACTGAGTCTTGGGAGGAGTAAACAAAATCAACACACAGAAAACCCTTAAACAGCGCCGAGCACGAGCACGCAGCAGGAACTCTGCCTGCAGACGGAGCTTGCTCAGCAGATGCCAGTAACAAGTGTTATTATTCACGAAGGCTTTACAAACTGTAAAGTGATGGAAAGGCCCAGGCAAGAGCATCTCTATCAGTTGTGCACACAGTGGGTCTTCAGCACACTGGGGATGAGATGGGAGCTGACAGGATTCGGAGGGAGCCCTGCCCCTGCCTGTCCGGCCTGGCCTGGCCCGGCCCCCGGCAAGCACTGCCCTGTGGCTGGTGTTCGCCACCTGCTGCAGTCTGTCTGCCACTCAGCAGCTGGGCCACAAGGGCTGCCCATTCCCGTGGACCCCACCGTCCCCAGCTTTGGAAGGCCACGCTGGCCTGGATCTGGGTCATTACAGGCAGAAAATGGCAGAGGCTGCTGGGGACTCGGTTTTACCTTCCTTCCCAGCTCAGGGACACACCAAAGATGGCAGAGGGGCTACACCTTGACGGTGCCAGTGGGATCAACCTTGGGCAAGCCTAGCACATCTGAGCCTGTGATATCAGCTGTCATGAGCTGTCTCTCAGTCTTGGCCTGGCCAGCTCCTCTCATTGGGCGGCTGCTAAAATGACACCTCCTCCAAGTAGCCTCCCCTGATTACCCATCTAATAAAGTATCTCCCAACCCTTGCTGCTCCCTCCCTGGCCCCATGGGGACAGGGCCTTGAGTCTGTTCTGTGCCCTGCCATGTCCCCAGAGCTCTTCACAGCTCCTGACACACAGCAAATATCCAGTACGTATTGAAGGCATGAACAAATAAATGAATGACTGTTTCTCTCCAGGGTTGACCAAATATCGGATCGATATCAGGTGATATGACCTGCGGCTCACCCGGCCCAGGCTGGAAGGTCCCCACTCCCTCCCGCCCCTCACAGATATCTTTCCAGTGCCCTGCTTCTGAGCTGAACCGCACCTCATTTCGGCAGGCAGGTGGAAACCCTCCCGAAAAGGAGACTCTGGGATCTGGAACCTCATGGTCAGGAGTTTGTTGTCACCTTTGGCTCACCAGAGTACACAGAGGGAGCCCAGCCTACAACGCGGCCGGGCTCCCCGGGCAGCTGGCCGCTCCAGCCTGCGGCCACCTGGCCCAGCGCCGTCACCTGCCATCTGGGCCCATCAGGGCACGTGGTTCTCCCGGGCAGACTCGGACAAGCCTGAAAGCTCTGAGCCTCCATCTCCTCAACCATAAAGGGAGCGCAGCCCATCCACCTTGAGAGAAGTCACCAAGATTAACCAGGATAACACATCTCAGAAAACTGCCAGTGTGGCCCACAGGAGGTCTCAGGGAATGTTCATTCCCTTCATTTTTTGTGCAATATTCTACTGCGTGTACCTACCATCTGGGGAGCCCCAGGAGAGAGGGGACACATGTTAAAGAAGGCATGACCCCTAGTCTGAGGAGGTTCTTGCCTGCCAGGGGCACCAAGAATGTTAATGCCGGGCAGAAAATGCCTCCTGAAGGGTTGGCACCACCAAATGTGGACAGCGGTGGGGGACATGACAGTCTCCTTGGCTGGACGTAGCAGCCATACCAGGCCTCCTGGGGGCTGGGCATTGGGGACATGGACAAGGTCATTGCTGGGATGGCCACCCCATTGCTGACCCTCTTGGTCCCCGAGCAGCCCAATGAGGTCAGCTCACACTAAGACAGACCTGCTGTCCCATCCAAGCCCTCACTCACCCTGCGTGGGGCTGAGGCCAAAAATGAAGGAGTTTGAGGTCAAGAGAAGATGACCAGGGAGCTGGGGGCCACCCAGGGGTCCTGATCCCCACAGTCTATGTCAGGGCTGGAGGGCGGCTCTGGAGTTACACCGCTGAGGTTCAAGACCCGATTTCTTCATTAACTAGCTGTGTGGCTTGGGGACAAGGGACTCAGCCTCTCTGGAGCTTCCATTGTTCCCCTGCAGAATGGGGATGGAGTTCCTGAGGCCCTACCTCACACGTGCCTGCATTCTTTCAACGAATGTCTAACTCAACGCCTCCTGTGTGCCACTCCACAAAACAGACAAAAATCCCCTGTGTGCTTGTGGAGTACACAGGCTAGTGTCAGATGGGTAAAGGACAGGTAATGAAAAACAAAGATATTTGGTAAGCGACATAGTACTTTAGAATGGCAAAGCCAGAAAGAAGGGTGGGGAGAGCCATAGGGAAGTGGGGGTGCAAATAAATAGGATGGGTGGGAAAGGCCTCTTTGAGGAGATGACATTTGAAAAATACCCAAAGGAGGTGAGAGAGTGAGCCAAGCACATGTGTAGGGGAAGAGCATTTCAGGCAGAGGGAACAGCCTGTGCAAAGGCTCCGAGGCCACATACGGAATGATTCCCACTATGTGCCGCCCTGGGAAAATGTAAAGCCAGAGAGAGTAAGAAGCTTAGTGGTGGCGGGGGGTTGAGGGAAGGGGAGGGTGAGCGGGTAGAGCAAGGGGGACTTGCAGGGGCGGTGAAACCACTCCGCGTGACTCGGGGAAGGTGGGCACAGAGCGTGCATTCGGCAAAACCCACAGAATGTGCGACACGCAGAGTAAACCCTGATGTGAACTGTGGATCTCAGTTAATAGTAATATATTAGTATTGGTTTGTCAGTTGTGACAAATGTATGACACTAGTGCAAGATGTTAGTAACAGGGGCAACTGGGAGGAGGGGCGGGACGGGAACTCTTGCACTCTCTGCCCAATGTTTATGTACACCGAAAACCGCCCCCCAAAATGAAGTGTGTGCAATTGTTTTAAGTATGCCTGGGACCCCCTCACCAATGGGCTCGGCCTCTCTGGGCTGGGGTCCAGGCATGTTCTCAACCCTCCCCGGGGGCTTCCAATGTGTAACTGGGGCTGAGAACCAGGCCACACCCCCGTTTTCCACGCCTGGCCTCCGTGGCCCCGGGGGGGCCCCGCCGAGCACGGATTCTGGATGGGGCGGTATCGCCCCAGGTGCAAAAGTTGGTTCCGGGAGGGTGGGAAGTATTTACTCTTTTCAGGTATGAAGTGCAGATGTGCACACAGCACATAAACAGTAGTAAAGTGTATCTGCAGAAATAAAGTTTCACAAAGGGAGCGATTAGGGGGAAAATCCCCAAAAAGGCTCCTAGAGAGAAAATGGTGGAAATCGGGTTGAGAAACACGCTCACAGAGACACCTTTGGGGAGTTTCAAGACGGGGAACAGAGGCTGAGAGGGCCAGGCTCCTGCCCTCCCTTAGCCCAGGTTCAACCTGGGACACTGGGGACAAAGGGTTCTGCGGCTTTACAAAGGAGTAACAGAGCCCTGGCCGCTGTGGCTCGGTTGGTTGGAGTGTTGTCCCATAAACCAAAAGGTCATGGGCTCCATTCCTGGTCAGGGCACATGCCTAGGTTGCCGGCTTGGATCCCCGTCAGGACGTGTACAGGAGGCGGCCAGCTGATGCTTCTCTCCCACATTGAAGTTTCTCTCCCTCCTCTAAAATCAGTAAGCATACCCTTGGGGGAGGATAAGAAAATTAAAGATAAAGGGAAAAATAACATTGGAACCCATGAGATGACCCGACCCACCAGCCGAGCTCCCAGTGGGACCCCCACTCTGCCCTGTAGGTCCAGGGGTAGCGTGGGCCGTGCAGCCAGACCGCCTGGGCTTCCTGACCAAGCTCCTCCACGGATGTGCTCAGCGACCTCGGGCAAGTCCCGTCACCTCTCTACGTCTCGGGTTCTCATCCGCAGCGTGGTGTGCCACGCAGTATCTCCAGACCTCCACGAGGGGACCCCCGTGAAGGGGCGACAGCAGAGCCCAGCAAGTGACAAGCACTCCACAGACACCAGCTCCCAGCACAACTGAGCGGAGCGACGGCCTGGCCCTGGCCCTGGCCTTGCCAGCAGCCCCATTCACACCACAGTTTCAGGTGCCGCCTGGAAAGTGAGAGGCTGCTGATGACACAACAAACCTGCGCTGACCTGAGATACACCCTGATTTCAGGGACGTCGTGTCAAAAACCCGAGTCTGCCTGAGCACGAGCGGCTTCTATAACTCGGGGCCCTTCTCGGGCCCCCCGGGAACCCTACCAGCACAGGTGCACGGCAGGCAGGCACGGGAACTGCTGTCTGATTCTGGGCCTCATCACTTACTTGTTGGAGTGCCTGCCCGCACCCCCGCATGCCCGCCCGCCCACTGCCTGATTCCTGTGCGCACAGCACACGGTGCCTGCTCAGCAGAGCAATGAACATATGGGCGCTTCCTCGGGACAGGCCCCGGGGAGCTGAGCACGGCCTTCCCACCTGGTCCCTCTCGTGGCCCCTTCACTTCCTTGTAGAGTGGGGACACTTCAGTGCTTCTATCCCACACTGGGCGAGGTACCCTGGGGTCAAAGAAGGATCACGCAGCCGTCTCTGACACCCAAACACGACACCGGGTTAGGAGGACACTTCGGTTTCTCCCCATTTTCAAGGGTGAAATATGATCCTCTCACCCCCTAGGGAGCTCAGAAACCTTCTCACCCGGACAATCACTTCCAAATGGATTTGGAAACCTCCCTGCCATCTGTTCTTGATTCTGGAGGGGCTGTCTGGCGAAGCTTAACATCCTGGTGTGGCCTCCCTCCTCCTCCCTCCCAGGGCCTCCAGCCTCCCTTCCCCTCTCCCCGTCTCCTAGCAAGCTGGCTGCTCAGAGCACTTGGCGGGCAGTTCAAGGTCGCCCCGAGGGGACCATCGTCTGTACCTGTAAGTTTGGAGGAAATGTAGGTCCACGGGCATGTCTGAGCGGGAGGAACATCACTAAGGGGAGTCAGATCCGTCCAGCTGGACTGGAGGTGGCCGGCTGGGCACCTGAGAAGGGACAGGTCACTCCAGAGTTTGCCCACAGCCCCGGCCTAACAGAAGATGCCAGAAACCTCCATCCCCCCTTAACATTTCTCAGCCCTAAATCTTACTTAGGCTGCCTTACTGAGAAGCTAAGAAGTGAGGCCCCAGACGTGGGGCTCCGAGGACAGCTCTGGGACACGAGGTTCCTGCTTCCCCTACCTCAGTGCCCGCCTGCTCACGCCTCCCATGTCCACGGCTGCCCTCTGTTTGACCCTGACCAGGAAGCAGGCATCGGGTTTCTGGTTTTACAATTATCACCTCATTTAATCCTCACCAGTTCTCTTATTGGCTGGTATTACTACCCTCATTTCACAGCTGGAAAAATTGAAGCTGAATGGGCTTGAATAATTTACCCAAGGTCACAGAGCTAGTCAGCAGTGGAGCTAGAAGTTGAACCTGAAAGCTCCTTGCAGAAGGGGACGGGGACACAGTCGCCTGTGTGTCTCAGTACCCAGCCGATAACCCGGCACGCAGCATAGACACAATCGGTATATGGTGATGAACGAACAAATATACTCAACAGTGGCTGCCACATGTTCACCAGACCACACTTCCTTTTCCTCCCGGACACACAGCTAAAACATTTCCCAGCCTCCTTTGCAGCTGGGTGGGGTCAAGTGGTGAGTTCTGGCCAGGGAATGTGGGCGGGAGTGATATGGACTACTTATGGGTTTGGCCTATGAAAACCTCCTGCATAATCCTTACCCCCTCTCCCATCTGCCAGGCAAGGTGAGGGGAGCCCGGGGCCCTGAGTGACGGCATGGAGCAGAGCCACCCTGAACTGTGGTATGACTGGGGAGTGACCTGTCATGGTAAAACAAACACATTATGCCCGTCGGCACATCCTGACCAATCACACACACGCTGCCCAAATAAGGGCTGTGTCCTCGCCTTTCCAGGGCCACCCTGCCACCTCCTCAGCTAACCCTTATAGGACACCGGTACTCTCAAATTAACGCCTCCTCCCTCTGCAAGGGGGCCGAACCGAGCCTCCAACCTGAAACGTGACATTGTGGTGGATGGCGGCTCCTGTGTCCACGCTGCAGTTGAAGGCTCCCTGGGGACTCCTTCTGAAGACGACATCCCGTCCACACTCAGGGCCTGGGGGGACCGCAGCTTGCTCCACTTTCACCAACAGTTGAGCTCTGCTCGGAGGTTGCACACTAGCCTTTGTCCAATCTGGGGACGGCCAGCTGGGAGACGTGAGCCATGCCCAGGGCCAGGCTGTGTTGGATTTCTCCGTGCTGAGATCTGTCATGTTTAAATACAGCACGACTTTCAAAGTGGCCTGATGTCCCTGCCCTTAGCCTGGGTGTGCCATAACCGGAGGTACGGAGAGAGGTTACCTGTCATCTCTAGGTGCCGGCAGAAGCCGCCCTTGGAACTCAGCAGCTGGGGGAAAAAGGGTCTCAAGACTGAAGGGTTAAAGCACAGGCTATACTGTCCCACATGCGGGGCAGAAAGCAGGGACAGGCTCACGTGGGGTCTTTCGAAGACAGATGGTGGACTTCAGTGCGCTCGGGTAAGGTGGGAGGGGTGGGCTTAAGGGGGAAACCTGAGTGCCTGTGTCTCATTCAAAGAGTGTGCCCCAGCATTAGTCCCTTTTGGTCACTGCTGATGTGTAACACTCAGCACAGGTCCAGGCACGTGCTAAGTGCTCAATAAATACGAAGACAACCACAGAATCACTAGTTAGAGCCTGAAACCCTAAGCCAGCGCCAAGCTGGGGTGGAACAATGTTCAACTCATTGTGTGGCAGGAAGAATAATACCCACCTTCCCAAACATGACCATGTTCTAATTCCTGCAGATACGTAACTTACAGGGCCAGGGGACTTTGCAATGCAGGGTCTGGAGGCAGGTAGAGTATTCCGGATTATCTGGTGGGTCCGAGGTCATCACAAGGAGTCTTGTTAGACAAAGTCAGGAGGCTTGGAATCAGAGAGAGAGTGGAAGATGCTTCTCTGTTGGCTTTGAAGGTGGAGAAAGGGACAGTGAGCCAAAGAATGTGGGCATCTTCCAGAGCCAGAAAAAAGGCAAGGAAATGGATGCTCCCCTGGAGCCTCTGGAATGAACAAAACCCCAGGAACCCCTTGCTTTCAGTCCACCGAACCCCATTTCGGACTTCCGATCTCCAGAGCATGAGATAAATTTTTGGTTTTTACGCCACCAGGTTTGTGCAAGGTAACTTGCTACAGCAGCAACAGGAAACGAATACACATAGTTACTCAATCATGTACTCACTCGAACACTGTATAGCTGCTGCCCCCTGCCAGGCAAACGGCGGCAGGCCGCTCTCTTTTCCTGTCTATGTTGACTGACAAGTTAAAAAGGTATCGTCACAGAATTTTACCATTTGTGGACACCTCCAAATAAATACGCGGTTTTATTTTAGAATCAAGATGGAGGGCGAATGTTTTTAAAAAGCCCAGGGGAAGAGAAAAATGCGTCATTCGCCAAAGACTGAGTGCAAAAAGCAGCGGACAGCCGACTTGTACAGAAAGAGGCCCCGTCCGCTCGGGCCCAGCCCGTCATCGGGTGGCTTGTTCAGGCCCAGCGTGTCAGCTCTTCTGACTTTCTTTTAATTAGAAGCTGAAATCTGGGTTTTATCCCAAATCTCCTGATTTTAAATGTTGACAATTCACTTCAAAAATAAATTTAAATGCTAAGCAGGCCAAACAAAACACACCTGCAGGTCGGACTTGGCCCATGGCGCCGTCCTGCAATCTCCGGCTCACGGAGTGGTGAGCACCCCTGGGAAGCAAGTCTGCAGGTGTTTCGGGCTGTGCTTCCCCCTCCCCATTTCCCCTCAGGAGCTCCCAGGACTTCAGCGGCCCAACTTCTGGAAGCCGTTCCCAGCCCTGTTTGACTGGTGGGGGAGTGCAGCCCCAGAAGAACAGGGTTTGGAGCTTAACAGCCGGCCCGGCACCACCCTTTTTCCAACAGACCTTCGTACACCCTACGAGAGGGAAACCAGCACTGTCTTCCTCGTCAGGGCCCAGCACATAGGAGGCGCTCAATAAATGCTTGCCGGACAATGTGGTTATCTCGGGAGCTTCTACTCCTAGAGGGGTTGGAAGGAGACTTGGGTGGGGGCCCAGCAGGCACGCCTCAAAGACTTGAGGGAGCATTAATGTTCCTTTTCGATTCTCACAACCCCTGTGTGAGAAATGAATACTGCTGTCTCCATTTTACAGGTGAGGCAACTGAGGCCCAGGGACATGAAATAATTTCCTAAGAACACCTAGACAAAAATTGGTTTTGTCTATGTGTCAGTTTCTAGGAGTTTTATTCCTAGAAAGATGGATGCCAAGACTCCCCCTAAGTCAGGGGTCAGAACACCATGGTGCACAGGCCAACCCCAGCCTGTGTTTGTGAATAAACCCGTCTTCGTCAATTCTGGCTGCTCAGACATAGATATCGCAGGCTGGGGGACCTCAACCGCAGAAACCGACCTCCTGCAGGTCTGCAGGCTGGAAGTTCAAGAGCAGTGTGCTGGCGTGGCTGGGTTCTGGGGAGGACTCTTCCCAGTTTGCATGCAGCCTTCTTCTTGCTTGTCCTCAAATGATGGAGAAAGAGGGAGCTAGGTCTCTTCCTCTTCTTTGAGGGCACTAATCCCACCGAGGGGCTCCATCCTCATGACCTCATCACCTCCCGAAGGCCCGACCTCCCAGTTCCACGACATTGGGCTTCAGCATATGAACCTGAGAGGGACACATTCAGTCCACAGCCAGCTTTATGGGAACACTGCCCCACCTACTCGGTTACGGATTTTCTGTGATGTTTATGCTACCAGGGCAGAGAGCATAGTTGCAACAGAGCCTGCAAGGCCTGAGAAAGCTAAAATAGTCACTGCCTGGGTCTTCACAGAAAACGTTGCAGACCCCGCTCTGGGTCAGGAATACAGTGGATTCTCAACAGCACTAGGACGACTACTCATTAAGCGCTGACTATGCGCCGGGCCCCGTGGAGCGCTGCTGGCGAGGGTAAGAAGTCAGGATGCAGCTCCAAGTGTCACAGGACTCAGGAAAGGTACAAGTCTGGGGGTAGCCAGGCAAACAGAAGGGAAGGGTGGTGGGCATGGTTAGAGCAAAGGCCTGGAGGGCAGAACCCTCAGCCACTGCCGAAGGAGGCTCCCTGGATGACATTCACCTTCCCACCGGCACAGGTTAGCCTAGGATGTGTCCTTCCGCCGTGAGCCTGCCGCGAAGCGCAGCCGCCCCTGTGCTGCTCCTCTGGGTGTGTGCCGAGTTCCACCTGAGTGGTGCAGCTGCCGACGGTGAGCCACTTGCCTCTCAGGCACCTGCAGCACAACCTGGAGAAGGCCCACAGCTAAGGTGCTAATCAGATCATGCCACTCCCAACCTAGAGCATTCCACTGCCTCTCCACTGCAGCTAGAGGTCAGCCTGAGCTCCCTGGCTATCAGAAACTGGCCCGGACGACTTCGAAAGAGAAACCCGTGTCCATCAGCAGTCACTTCCTGATGCCTTCCTTCCATAGCCCCCGGAAACCGTGAATCTTTCTGCCTCAATAGATCTGCCTATTCTAGACATTTCATATAAATGGACTCACATAATATGTGGCCTTTGGGTCTGGCTCCTCTCACTCAGCATGATGTTTTCAAGGTTCACTCATGCTGTAGCAGGTAGCAGAACTTCATTCCTTTTCGTCGCTGAATAATATTCTGTCGTATGGATAAATTGCGCTTTATTTACCCACTCACCTTGTGAACATTTGGGTGGTTTCCACTCTTTGGCTGATGCTGCTGTGAACATTCATGCACAAGTTTCAGGTGGCGTGGTCTCAATTCTCTTGAGCGCCAGACTTGCGGGGTCCCATGGGGCTGTCTGTTTCTCATTTCAGAGAGACACCAAATTGGTTTTTCAAAGTCACACCATTTCCTGAGCCCACTGATATTTGAGATTTCTGATTTCTCACATCCTCGCCAACACTTGTGATGTCGTTTTAAATTTCAGCCATGCTGGTGGGTTTGAAGTAGTCTCTCACTGTGGTTTGCGTTTGATTATACTGAGCATTTTTCATGAGTTTATTGGCCATTTGTATAATCTTTTTTGGGCAAATGTCTATTCAAATCCTTTGCATTTTTCTTAATTGTATGAGTTCTTTGTATATTCTGGATAC